CTACATTTAGGGCAACACTACTGTGCCTCTCATTTTTCTGAGGGCTTTCTTATAACATCTGTAATGTTTTCTGTACTTCTTACAACACCCCTGGCTGTTCAATCCAAAATCTGAGTTCTGTTCTCTTGCTACTCAAGAAACTAACCTTCAGCAGTTCATATTCCACCATTTCACATTCCAGAGGCTTCTAAAAAGAATGCTGACAATGCTTCCATTAATAGCACTGGTAATGTTCCGGAGGTCCAAGGTAATTTCAACCTCAAAGTCTTTACTACTGGTAAGATTTAACCCCATGGTTACTATGTAAATGTGTAAAGTAAACCTGGAGGAGAATTCATAGGAAAAGTCATGAAATTTGAGCAGTTATCTCCTTTCATGATCTGAGTCAGTTTTTAATGAGTCATGAGATGTGAAACATTTTGAAGAGCAGCTTTTATGCCTTCAGAGACTATGTCAGACCACTGAGTGCTGGGACCACAAAACAGTAACTTCATAAATTCTTCCCAGTTGCTGTATCAATGCAGACCTTACTCCATACTCCTTATTTGCATGCTTTAGAATAATAGTACTTCACAGCCTAACAAGCTTACCAAGATTGTTTTTTTCAGACAAAAAGCTCTTCTAAATCCCAAATAATGTTACAACTATGTTTAGAAATAAACTAATTCATATTTAGCAACCTCCATTAAATCTTAATAAACCTAAAACCTTGAACCAACTCATACCTCACAGCAAGGAGTAAGAAACATTCCATTTCTGAAAAAGCAACCCTGTTTCCCAGCTAGATGGGGAGAGATGAGACACATGCCAACTGAAGAGCCTTCTCATCCTCTGAATGGAAGAATAAATACCTCCTTCAAACAAAACTAAACAATACAAATAATGGTGGCAGAAGACCCATTTTTAGGTTTCAGTGCTGTTTCCTGCCATGCAATGCACACTTGAGCTCATCAGTAGGATTCTTCACCTTCTGCTAACCAGCACTAACAGTCAATCCAAATCCACCAGGCAAACCATACTACAGGACAGCAAATAACGATTATTTTCTCCAGCAACTAAAGAGCTCTGTCCTTACACTCTCTCTGCTAAGCAGAGCATGACTAAAGCTGCTGGGGCTGTTAAGGCTATTCTCATATACCAAAATTGTGAGCATAACAACATAAAAATTCTCTCATGAAACATTATTTGAATCACTCATTCAAAGGAGAAAAAAATCCACTCTTTCAAGTTATACACTGTCTTTGGCAAGGAGAAAAACAGCTAAAGGGAACAATAAAACACTTCTATGACACTATTTTTTGTATTAGGTTTGTCCCTGGGCTATATGCAGCAGACTTGTTGGAAGAAAAATGAGTGATTTTCCAAAAGTAGTACAAAAGATATTTATTACACAATGATTCTTTGTACAATTTTAAAATTAACTAAAATTTCTGGAAGTGTAAAAGAGAGCTTAGTAACAGCACAGACTGTCCTGCTGAGAAGTAAAAAGGGACCACATAATTTAAGCAGTAATTTATATTTGTATTAAAGCACACAGATGAAGGGAAAAACTAAGTATTCTCTACATAACAATCAAGGATAGATCCTATACACAGATCTGATAAGGCCCATTTCTGCATTTAGGTCCATCAGATGACTACAGCAGAGTTCTTTCACACTCCCCCTGCCTTGTTGTAGTTATACAGTCATTTTACTGAAATACAGAAATCAGTTTTTAGCAATATATTACCTTTTGCTATACTGTAGCAAGCCTGAAGAATAAAAGGTGCTTGCTGTCTTCACCTCTCTAACCATTTACAAACAATAATGACCATCTAGGAAGCCACCAGCTGTAGACATTACAGTGTTCAACTCGCTCCTTTGCTGACTCACAATCTCCATCACCATAAATACCACAGGTTTATTTTTCTCCTTTCATACCCTATTTTATTTTAGGCACTTATCTATTATTGCAGTAGATATAACAGATTCCTGAAGAGGATGCATTCTCATACTGCAGCATCATGAAGTTTCCATATTTCTCTATGGTGTTTTCCTTCTGTTGATCCCCCACATTTATCCTTTCATTACATGGAAATTCCTCTGCTGCAACCAGGAAAGCACAAGCTGGAAACCTGCCACCCTTGCCCAATACAGCAAAGGTGTATTATTCTACAGATCATGATCAGATTGGGGCCCACAAGGATCCTGGAGAGGGACTCGTCATTAGGGACAGTACTGATAGGACAAGAGATAACTGGTTCAAATTTAAACAGGAGAAGTTCAGGTTAGGTATAAGGAAGAAGTTCTTTACTGTGACGGTGGTGAGGGTCTGGAATGGGTTGCACAAGGAAGTTGTGAATGCTCCATTCTTGGCAGTGTTCAAGACCAAGCTGGACAGAACCTTGGGTGACATGGCTTAGTGTGAGGTGTCCCTGCCCATGGCAGGGGGTTTGGAACTGGATGATCTTAAAGTCCTTTCCAACCCTAACTATTCTGTGATTCTACGATATTCAGTAGAAACGTTCTGTTTCCACAACTAGATACAAAGAAAGCACAAACTGAGATAAAAACAGAACATACCAGTCACTGGCATGCACTGATAAACTTTACATAGAATTGTTGTTCAGGTTTAACATTACTTGCAAATGTTGAATAATCTTCCTGTTGACTAACTAAAAGCCAAGCTAAGGGCCAATGCAGAGTTCTCTGTATCAGCATACACTTAATCTGAAATATACACATGATGTGCAAATCACAAAATCCCAGACTGGTTTGGGCTGGAAGGGACGTTAAAGCTCATCCAGTTCCAACCCCCTACCACAGGTAGGGACACCTTCCACTAGATCAGGTTGCTCCAAGCCGGACCTGAACACTGCCACAGATGGGGCAGCCACAGCTTCTCTGGGCAACCTGTGCCAGCACCTCATCACCCTCACAGGGAAGAGCTTCCTAATGCATAATCTAAATCTCCCCCCTGTCACATGATCCATGTCAGCTTCCAATAAACACTCTGATTACTCAGGAATGTATTTACTATGATATTTGTAAAGCTCCTGCTTGGACAATAAATCTCAAAGCAATTTCTGAAAGAGGCAGTTACTGCAAACCGGGGAGGATTCTACCCTTTCCCAGTAAAGGATGTGTTCGTACAGGACAGGACAAGACTCTATGGCTTGCTCACCACAGCAGAGGGCACCAATTTGCATGACAAAACCCACACCAAATATGGAGTTCTTAAAAAAGATCCATGTTTATCACCAGCACTCAACCTATGACAAAATTATATACTACCATTTTGGGTTGCATGCAACTGAAGCACAAGTGCCAAGCAACATGGATTCTTCAAGATATAAAAAGCAAGTTAGGAGTGCCAACTTCAATTCATGCCTTTGTAAAGCTGACAACATGAATCATATCTTAAGCATAATTTTCAAAAGAATGTTAAAAAGCAAAGATGACATACAAAAGGACATGGTGCTGGTTTAGCATCAGCTAAAGCAGAACTGAAGGGGAAGTTTCATGTATCAGTTTGCAAGCACCATGGATCAGAATCCACAGGAAGTCAAAGTATGATTCCTGCCAGAGATCGTCACGTAAGTCTACATATTTGTGCTATCTTATAAATAATAAAACCAGTTTGGGGATGAATATCTAAAACAAGTACCTATCATTGACAATAGCACAGAACTGAATAATTATAGAACTTATCTTTCATCAACTTGGAAGCTTTCAGATTCCTAATGCTTTTAAGTGACGAGGATAATTTTGTCAGTATGGCACCACATCAAACTGGGCCATCTGTTAAGAAGTATCATTAAGACGTCCAGCCTCTGAGGGACAGAGAAGCAACACTTGCTGCTTGCTTTAATAGTTACAGATGTTTCTAGAAGCATTTGAACAAAATTAATGGGTATACTCTTAGATGTAGCAAGCAGTCTCAGATGTGCTGGTTCCTACAACAACGTGCATCTGCTTCAATTTCAAGGCCTTAGTCATTATTTAACTATGCCTATCTATTAATTCATATTTACTGGCTAAGGGAGCAATTCAGAGCCCCTTCACTGGCATCCATCATGACACTGCAGGAATTACCCACAGGCAAGACAAGTGGGTGCATCACTAAAGTCTAGCACCCAAGCCCTGCTCAGAGACCAGGCTCCCCTTAAGCTCAGCTGAGCCTCAGCGCTGGGAGATATGGAAGAGAGGCACAAGACAGACACACACAGACAATAATCATCCCAACACCTTCCACCCAACAGCTCACTGATTACAACCCACTAAGAAGAAAGCTTGTTCCAGTTCTCCAGCCTTGGGATACCTGCATTTCCTCATTTAAGGGCATTTCCTCAACTAGGATTTTACCTACAGCTTGTTCAGTCTGCTCCACCACCACACAACCAGGAATCCCCAGGGCTGAGAGGGAACCAGCTAGAGTACCCTGCATCTCAACACCCCATTGGAAGGGGGAATAATGGGATTCTGGGATCCTGGGCTATTTTTTCATGTTTATTCAGCAATTGTCCAACTTAATTCCTAAGTGAATCCTAGTGTGCTCAGATCTAAATCAACTTCAAAATATCCATTAAACTCGAATATTATTATTATGATGATGATTTTGAAACAGAGAGTTTAAAACCCCATTTCCAAAACCCTGTGTATTTAGTTCACTTGCAAGTTTAAGCAACATAAAATGCCTCTTCTGCAAACAGAACTTCTTCCTAGTGGGAATTCTTAAGAGATACTAGGCCCTTTCTCCTCTGACTCTTCCTTTCCTCCCTCTCCAAGTCTTTTCTCCCTCTCTTTCCCTCTCCCTAGTTCAGAGCAATTATTATTCAGCTTTTTATCTAGTAAGTCTTCTAACCAAAAGAATATCATAGACTGGTTTTATATGAAGGTAATTATAGAATCAGGTCAACAGAAGTACCAAATATCTCATTAAAAAGGAATTGTTCTTTGCAGTGTATCCCCCTGTTGAGTCAGCAACTTATGTTCCTTCCAATGCACAGTCTCTGGCTTACCTCTACAAACACTGCAACACTGGTTCTCTGGAAGAACATGATCTTGTTCTGAGCAGTTCAGGGAAGGACAAGCCTCTGTGACTTTTACTAAAACTCCATTCTGAAAATAAAGAACATTTTTATAACATTACATGGATGAAAACATTACATGGATGAAAACATTACATGGATGAAAACATTACATGGATGAAAACATCACGTATTTTTCAATCTACAACTCTAGCAAATTCCAGTAACAACACTGGTAAACGAGCAGGCAGAAAGCCAAATTCATTCTTTCTACCACAACATCTTACTTGAAGTTATCTACTTAGATAATTCTCTGCCCAGACTTGAAAGAAAAGGAATTAAAGGGGGGAAAAATAAAAAGCTCAAAATACTACAGTAGTTTTTCCAAATGTGTTGTCTCCAAGTACAAGTACAGCTGTTTTCCTTTCAAGTATTTGAAGGAACTAAAGAATCTCACTCCAGGATTTTGCCAGTCTTCCTGCTTTAACAGGTCCAAATTTGACTCCTGTTTCATATGCTACATAACTCACTGATAAGTTATTCAACTCAAACACAGCTGAGAGAAGATCAACATTTTCATGTCATGGATTGTTCTGCTGTATCCAATTGAAAGGATCTGTTTTTTAGAATAACCCAACACCTCATTGCTACAATTTAGGTCCCTCAAAGGTATGGCAAAGCAGAAATCCCATCTTGAGGTATCCACATAGAAACTGCTGTATAAAATGGAAATCAAAGCCAACATATTTTGATTTCTGTTTGATTTGGAATAAGACTGTGCATGGGAGGCCTAGTTGCTGGTAGAGCCCTTCCGGGGAGATTGTAAACCAGAATTTACTCCATCTTCTTCCTAACACCATTTCTCCAGACCAAACAGCTGCCCTGCTCTTCAGTACATTGTTTCTTAACATCTTGTCCCACAATAGCTTTCTCTTCTCCCCAATCTCACCTCCAGCCTTTCCCAGACCACAATTTACTTCTCCGACATCCTTTCTGCAGCTATGCCATCACTGCAAACTGGTGAATGGAGCAGAGATTAACAACGAGGAGTTTTGCTCAGTAGGAGCTACAATAACTATCCCACAGGACTGTCCACATCAGAGTAATCCCATTTTCCAAAGGGCTGTGAAACTCCACTAAGAAAGCAGGCAGCCTGCTATATTACAAAGACACTGTTTTATTAGGAATCTAGCCCCTATTCCTCCCAAAATAGTTTGAGGATGCCTCAGATGGTGGAACAAAAAGATGGAATGAGAGCTTCTGCTTTCTTCAAAGAAATAGATTACCTTTTCTAGCTACCACGTTTGCAGAGAAAAGGTTATAAATATGATCCAAACACATCTAGGGCTAAGAAAGCAGAGGAAAACCAATACCAAAAGAAGATAAAATATGTCATGAATGTCACCATTCTCATAATGAGGGATTAGAGAGGTGATTTTGAACAGAGGATATTGAAAACACCCGTGTGTCTACCCATCTACCCTGTTTGAAGAAACACCCCCTACATAGAGCCACCCTGCAAGCCAGAAGCAGCTTCTGTATTCACAGGACACTGCATCACACCGTGCCACAAGACTAGCTCGGGTACCAGAACCAGTCCAGGTCAAACCCTTGCTGGTGATGAGCCTCCCCAGCTATGACACACTGCTTCAGCTGTGTCACTGCAGGCTCCAGAATGAGTTCTCATGGCACCAAGCCACCCTACACAGTTCTGAACACAGAAATACCTCCTCTACAAGGTGCAAATGTGCACAAGGTGCTTCGCAGCTCCCAGGACTTGCAACTGAGAAGAGCAGCATACCTGGAGAATGCAAACCTGACTGTTGCTACTCACTGCCACTACCACTGCTGCTCACTGCCCTGAGATTGCAGTTTTAAAGCGAAGCAGTAGCAAGTAATTTTTCTCGCTACCCAACTGTCTTTACTGGCAAGTTGCAGCAGCTGCTGTCAAGAAAAATCATATAACAAACCCCACAGGCATCAGGTTTTCCAAAAGCAGCTCCCTACAGCATCACATACAGCATGCATCATTGAAGCAAGTGCCCACACAAGTACAGTGAAGTTAATGGCCTCCTTCTGATCTCACTTCCATATGTGAAAGGGAGAAACCCCTCTGGTTGCCTGTGCAACTGCAGCAGCAAAGGTGATAAAAGAACCAGACACACTGAGCCGTCATTTACTATCACGTTATCAAATTACCAGCTGGAAAAGCTATGGCCATAACTCATTGCCTGTTCAAGCTCAGACCAGACAATTGCAGAAGCAAGGGTACAGTAAGTCAACATATGGAGAAAAAGCTTTGAGTGACAACAGGTCTGGTCAGAAAGATGGCAAGATATCATATGAAAGTCAGATCAGTGATCAGGATGAGATAAATTCAATCCAAGCTCACACCTTCTTTAGTGAATCATAAGGAGATGAATAAAAATAAAAAATAAAACAAAAAACCCACACAAAAAGTTGTGAATTCCTTTCATTTAAAGACAGGAAGATTTTCTTTCCCCAAGTTTCACATTTTTTGCAGAACTCGTGTCTTGGGAAAGCAAATCAAACGTATTTGTATAATTAAGCTTTAAATTAAAATTAGATTAAAATGTTTCCATGTTGAGTATTCTTTGGATTCAAATCAATTTGTTCTAAGCTAGTACAGATCCAATTATAAGAATTATCATCATTAGATTTCAGATTTTATTCACTGAGATAAGTACGAAGAGTTCACACTTCAGCATTATTGCTTCAGGCAGCCTTAGAAAAATTACTAACTTTTTATACACATTCACTTCTGTAGTCATAGAATCTGGACAGAAATAGGTGTCAAAAACACATTCTTCTGAAACAAATAGATCAAGCTCCAGTTGTGACATCCAATCCACAAAGAATCCGATCTGGATTCAAATGTTTACAACAAGGCAATTCCACTTCTTGTCATTACACAGGTAAGTATGTTAAAAAGAATTGGCTATCAGCCTAATTAGAGGCATACAGTGTAAATCTAAACCACAAACAGCTCAGCTCAGATGATGAGCTCTGGAAAATAATAGCAAGATTTTAGATAAGGTTATTTAGGAACTTTTGTTGTCCTTTGGGGTTCCCCTCACACACACCCCCCTTGTTTTAGCTGTTCTTGATCAGCCTTTCAGGAGAACGTTCCAGGTAGTGTCCTCAGCTGTCACTCTGGGAACAACATTTTTCCATATCTTTATAAGGAAAAACTTTCTAGTCCAGGTTCCTGAAAGCCACTGGAGCCCTGACTAGCTGGGAATGGCTGTTCATCAGTAATATCTGTGCTTATGGTAAGAAGATGTGCTTCATTAATACATTTTTAGTCCTGATTAGTTTTCAGAAACTAAAAAAAAAAAAAACAAAAAACAAAACTGCTCACAGCCTGATAAAGAAAATCTGGGATCTATCTGGATCTATCAATACTATTAACGGTATTTTTGTTAAATGGAAAAAATATAAAAGTTAAAAGCCTCTTAGGCTTGGATCAGGGCCTGTGCAAATAATAACTTATCTATCTACAAATAAAGACTGAAATGTGAAATTTCAACTTGACTTTTTGATATTATCCCACCTACAAATACATCCTCCTTTACAGACACAAGTGCTACTCCCTGAGACTTTTAAGTCACCTCTATGAACACCAATAAATTGACAGTTGATGTGTACCCTCTACTGGTGAGGCAGTTGGCATTGTCAGCCAAGGGGGATTTAGAAGACCACATCTGACCACAGATCAGATTTGACCAGGGTGTAAGTGGAGCCCCACTGGAGAGCCACTTTGAGCTGGTACTCCTTGGAGCAGCAGGTCTGCAGTCAGGGACTCTCCCTTTGGGTCGGGACGCTGCCCAAGGAAACTCCTCAAGGTTCAGAGCCCTCCCTTCATGAGGTGAGTGACTGTGCATTTGGGACCACTGGTCAGAAACTTGAAGAATTGATTCTTTAATCAGTAGTGTAGTGACAAACACGTGACATCACAAATCTGTAGCTGATGATCATGGAGCTTTAATTGAGCTTAAACAATAAATTTCATTTTATCTCAATTTATTGGTTCCATGACAGAATCCACTTAAAAACTGAGTCATAATGACAAGCTTTGCCAGTGAGGTTTAATGGTTTCTTTGATCTTAAGGTCCTTTCCAACCCTAACTATTCTATGATTCTAACACAGCTCTGAAAATAGCAGGTTGGGTTTTTTCCCTTTTCTTTTTTTGAGGCATGAACTCATGTTTTTCATGGTATCGCATCCGTAGGTGCTGTTTCATTTTATCAACAGTCTCCATTAAGATGTAACTAATACAAACAGCAACGCTGCTGCAATTAGCGTTGGCATATCAATTTCCTTTAATGCACAAGTTCTTTCACTGTTACTTTAGTACTTTCTAATATAACAGATATTTGATGGTGAGTATTCATGAATTTATTAGCATACTTACAATGAAAAATATAACACTTTCATTTAGAGCACAGAGAATTTCTACAGATAACAGTCAGATCACTCTGGTTTCACTTTAATGTGAAAATCCTCTTCATCTTATTTTATATAGGTACATTCCCTGCCAAATAAGCACTCTATGTCTTATAATAGTAACAGGCATCTTAGTCTGTCTTCAAGGAAATCACCTTGCCCACATATTTGTATATACAATGTTCAGCACTCCTATACAGCTAAACACTAACAGCAGCAAAATGATTCTGCATAACAGGCTGCTTTCACATCCTCAACCAGTTATTGTCCATTTCCATTAGCAAACATCAAACTGCTACTCTGTACACTCAGCTACAAACACAACAATAACCAGGTCATTGTAATCTTTGTCAGTGCTCTGATATTCACTAACACTCCCTGAATGCTCCTATCTAATACAGCCTCCATTTACTTGGGTTCTAAATATTGGCTGTAATTGTCTAAGTGTTACAAACTTGCCAAGGCAGGCCCCAATAGCATCCCACACTTAGCAATTTACCTCTATTATTAGCAGGGTTACATACAGTTTAAATCCTAGGGGAAATATGGAGTAACTTGAATAATATAAGCCAGGTTGCTTAAAATTTTAGCAATTTTGCTGAAAATTAGTAACTGCTTCAAGACACTGCTGCCTTTTTCTAGGGTTCATGAAAGTGGGGATCAAAGAGAAAACATCTTTCCAAGTCATCTTGCCCATGTTTTTATTACCATGCAAAGATCATATCGTTGCCTTGTCTTTGTATTTGTGGCTTTCAGTGACTTCAAGGTCACCTTTTCAAGACAACAGATGTCACATTTGTGGAACGAAGCCTGAAGAAATGCACTAACTTATCATTGTCACTTCTGAACAGTACATACACATTTAAAATTAGGGAAAGTATATAGAACCAAAACTTACTCGACACTCCCTGCAGCTCTTGTTTAACACTCGTTGACCTTCTGCCAGCACTTTGCCCCCATAGATACACTTGGCTGTAATTGGAGAGAAAAAGGAGGGAGATTAAAAATAAAGTTGAAAAGAAATCACAACCACAGAATGGTGACAAAGTCAAAAGGGACCTGAAAGCTCATACAGTTCCAACCCCCTGCCACAGGCTGGGACAGCTTCCACTGCACCGGGTTGAGACCAAGTTGCTCCAAGCCCTATTCAAGCTGGCCTTGAACACTGTCAGGCATGGGTCATCCTTGGAATTCAACAAAGCTTTAAAAGTTTCCCGAGACAAGGCATAGGCACAGTGAAAGTGGAAATACTGAAAGCACTCAGTTATCCAAAACAGTCCCAGACTAATAACTCTTTCACTTCAATTTCTTTCCTAAACACCAAGGGAAGGGAACCAAGCTCTTACAGGTGTATGTGTGTCCCCTTTATAGGGGAAACCAAAAGGAGTCTTACTGTCACGGCCAGTTTGATTCCCAAATTTTAAACATAAAGGACTGCTAGCTCAATCTTCAGAAACCTTCAGACATAAATTTGCTTCTAAGAACTTACTTTTAGTTTCAACTTACACTCTTGAAAATCCGTATTGCTTTAAGAAGAGATAAACAAAAAAAAAAAAAAACAAAAAAAAAACCACGAGAGGACAAGGTTTTCAGGAGAACAGAGTTTTCATCATCAACCCAGTTTTCATCATGTATTTAAAAAACAGGCTTTTTGCTTTTGGCATCCTTATTTTCCTAAAGATGCCCTAGTTTTTATACCTGACTTGTGATCTCCCCTATGAGGAAAACTTCAGATCTGGAAGCTTTGTTTAAATTAGAAACCTCAGTAACTATTTTTAGGAGAAGAAGTGATCTTCCTACTTATTCTCCTAACATCACTGCTTTTAACAAAAGAATGGATGCACCAGACAGCAAGTTAATGCACAACTCAGAAAAATTATGATATTTCAAACAAAATTATAGTCTTTTGTCAAATATTAGTTGAAAGGCTACACAAGATGTCAGGGATCAAAACAGAACTGCCTCATTTTTAAAACCCTTAACATGTCAGATATCAGAGTTACTCTATTCGTTAACCCTCAACTAAGACGGGAACCTGTTCAAGAATCCAGCCATTCACTAATCCCTAGAGACAGTAAATTACAACTGATGATTCTATCAGAGCTAAATAGGAAAAGCACAGAGAAATTAACACCTGCAGCGCAGCTCTTCAGAAAGCTTCAGTAATTACTACTAGCTACCCAAAAGTGACTGACTCTGGCCTCAGTACATCATTCTGTGAAGAAGCTGGCATTTACAATCAATTTCAATCAACTCCCATACATCTCTTCCCATTGACTGACATGCTGAGTTCTCATCAGAATAACAAGTCAAGTTTGTGCCAATCACTGACAAAAGGCAAGTTTGATTGTTCGTCTTCCCATTACAAATCACAGAAACAGTTTACTCACAGGGATATACGTTGAATCTACACGTTTTTGCCTTATGACTCCTTGGTGTCAGATTTTGACTGCTGTGCAGGCATGCATGTGAGCAAAGGAGTGGCAAGAGAAGCATCCAGATTCATGAAAGAAATTTCTAGATTCTCAGCATTACAAATACAAATATTCTGAGACAAAACCCACAGGCCAGCATGGCCACTTCACCATCCCAGCACTCTGCTCATAAACACATTTAGTAACCAAAGCACTCATGCTAACACATAGCTGAGAGAACGGACATTACATGAGTAAACAAGGGCAAGTGCAAGATCACAGCTAAAGGGCATTTGTGTATGGGACTAATGAATTCAGTGACTGAAAAAGGGTGACAGAATGCTAAAAAAAAAAAGTGTTACTATTTTTCTAATAGATCTTAAAGTAATTCAACATCTCTGTCTTACTGTCTTAATGAATTATTAAAACACTCATGCATGAAGTTTACTACTTTCCAAGAACCGGGGGGGGGGGGGGAGGGAGGGCAAGGAATACATATATATGTGTATATACAAACACATTATTTGTGCTTATGGTAACACTGGCATCAGTATTCAGCTGAAATTTCCATAGATAAATTGTCTTTGCCCCATGTACTACTGTTAAGGCTACAAATACTGAATATTCCTTCCAGAACGTTACTTACAGCTTTCATTTCCAGGAGAACGGACTGAAAGCTGGCAATAACATTGATCTTAAAATCTACTTTTTTTTTTTCTTCTCATGAATTTATTCTGAAGTTCAACACAGCAAACTAACACTCCATGCAATGATACTAACCCAGGGTCTGAAGTTATTATGCTTATTTTAGACAACAACCTTCCAACCCAAAATAAAAGACAGGCACAAAGATAACAGCTCAGTTTACTACTCATCGCTACATCAAGTTCAGACCATAGACTTGATGCTCTGCAACATCAGCAGGAGATACAAGCTGAAGCCAAGTAAAAGGCTTTGCAGCCCCAAGCAAACAGATTAACAACTTTACACTGACAATAGATAAAATGACAATCTCAGAAATTTGCTTCTTCATTTCACAGCAATTATTTATTTCCTCTTAAATCTGTGACTCGTGGTACACCTGAACTACCAAGACCTGTGAAAGTCATAAAATGTGCCTGCTTTCAGGACAAGTTTCACTGCTTAAATAGAAACTCAAAGGTCTGTGTAATGTACTTACCCTTGCAAACTTTGCAGCACTGGCTTTCCACATGCACTGGGAGAGCATCAGGAGGACAATCCAGAGGGGGACAGGACATCCTGCGGCACTCCACAGCTCCACTCTAAGCAACAACAATTGCAATTAGCAAGCATTTTATACAAAACATAACAGACCAAAAACTATGAAATGAAAACAGCCTTTGTGGAATACAGACTCAGCCTTCAGGAACGAGTGTAAACCTGTCCAGCTACACAGTTGAAACAAAATACATCTCAAGGTGAACCACCCCATTTTGATACTATTACTGGTTTTACCCCACTTGCCCTGAGCAAAGCACTTTAAGTGGAAAACATAAGCCCATCTCGACAAGAACGTAAGCACCACTCAAGTGCCAATCATCTCGGAGATTTTTAACAACCAGTTTTCTATTTTCCTGAGCAAACAAAGATTCTCTTCAGATATTTATCAAATCATTTTAAGGAGACAAGATTTACACACTAATTCTCTTCTGTTCCTTGGGTTTTCAGTGATCAACACCAAAAACAGAATCTGCAAATTGTTACCATGCAAGGCGCAACTAAGCAGCTATGAATACTGTTAAGATAATGCTTCCTTTCTGAAAAAACTACTGCAGTGAAAACAATTCCAAACCAAACACAGACAAAGCCAGGCTTTCATCCCAAAACCAGAAAGTCCTCACAGATATAACAAGAGCAAATATGAAAGCACTGTCAAGGGAAAGCAGATTTTATTTCTGAAGCTGCCACATGGGCTGTGTCAGGTATTTATTGATTTATGTCACTATTTCCCTCCCTATTGTTCACACTGCCTCTGGATGCACACTAAAACCAGAATAATTCTCAGTTGCTATTATGTATTCAAAGACCATTTCCATGTTTTAATTAGGTCCTACTCCTTCAATTCATTAGGAATTCTTACTTTGCATGTGCAATTCCTGCAGTGATCATCTTCAACCCATGAGTCTTTGTCTCTATAGATCAATCCATTTACTTGACAAGTCTTCTCACAATGACAGTCTTCCAATTGACTCAGTCTTGTTTCTGCATAGTTTAACTATAAATGAAAGAAATTTGATGAGACTTCTGCAATCCAGGCACACAATTTAGAAAAGCAAATATGAGAAAGCATTTTACTTATTTTTAGCCAAACCACGTCTGAATGCAATCTTTTCTAAACACTGAACCAGGATGCCATCAGGTATCAACTAACCCCACTCCTTGAATTTGGATGGAGTTATCCATGCTGACAACCGTTTATGACTCGTGCAGCTGTCTTTTCTGCTGTAACAAACCACACTGCAATGCCCTCAGGAATGCCCAAGCACCACCAAAAGTACACAAACTACAATGGTAGGTTGGTTTTGTGTTTTTTTCTTTTTAAATCTGAACTGCTCATCAACCTGATCACTCATCAGAAAGCACAAAGACTGTCCTAATCACCCCAACCTCCTCACTGTTAAGCAGCAGCCAGACTAGTTACTTTCTGACTTTTAGAAAGGTCTTAACCTTGTAATAGCCAGAGAGTTTTCAAGGGGAAAGCAAGTGTAGTACAAAATATTCCCAGACTGTGATGAATGAAGAAGCCATGCTCCTGGAGTAAACCCTGGGCTGGTGGGTAGCTCTTACCATGCCTTGCTGCTCCCATCACCACCTCAATGCCAACATAAAATGTGTATGAATATGTATGAAGAAGCTTAAGTTGATGCATCTCATGGCAGCATTCCAATACCTGAAGGGGCCAGCAAGAAATCCGGAGAGGGACGTTTTACAAAGGCATATAAAGGATAAAGGGTAATAGCTTTAAACTGAAGAGGGGAGAGATAGATTAGATATTGGGAAGAAGTTCTTCCCTGTGAGGGTGCTGAGGCTGCCCCATCCCTGGCAGTGATCAAGGCCAGGTTGGATGGGGCTTGGAGCAACCTGGTCTAGTTGAAGGTGTCCCTATCCCTGCCTGTGGCACAGGGTTGGAACTGGATGAGCTTTAAGGTCCTTCCCAACCCAAACCAGTCTGGGATTGATGAACTTTTACAAGTGTTAACAACTGCACACTAGCAATTTCTTTGTTTACTGATGAGATACTATGCAATACTGAGAAGGCACAATGCTCATTCCTGTCGGAGCATAAAAGAACAAGGCTTTCTGAACCACCCTCTCCTAAACCCTATCACAGACCTCCCCTTCATAAAGGTACCACCTCACCATCCTCCAAAGAGGAACACCCCTATCTATGCACACCTTGTTCCCAGTGCCATCATCTCTCATCCCTCAAAGAAAGGGATAAGAAAACACAGAATAACTGCAAAATTACTTTCCTACTTACTAATGCTAATAAATATATGAATACAGACTTAATACTTAAGTAATTATGTGCCTTTTCCATGCCCCAGAACTGCCACTGCTCTAAAAATTACCCTGGTGCCAGCTGGACAAGAGTTTCTCAAGGTCTTGATTTTTTACCTTCACATTTTTCTTATGTGTGTAAGTCATTAAATAGCAAGGCTACCTAAGTCTGGCAGAAGACAAGATGAACGCATACACTATCCTGCTATGATGCTATTATCCTACATTATAGGTTGATACATTTAAATAGTAGCAAATTTTATTAAACAAGGCACGTACAGTGCTATTTTTTACATAATGCCATATACCTGAATTTCATGAATTTCCATCCTCTAAAAACCCATCCACTTTAAATGTAAGTATTCTAACAAGTCCTTTTTCATTCCTGCCAGTCAAACACCAACTTATTTAGGGGAAACAAAAAGAAAATATATTTATCAGCAGTCCTTATGAGAGAAAGCCCTGAATAAAAGCTCTTTATTTCTTAAGTTATTACTCTGGGATAACAGGGGATTGATCCTCAGCAAACCCAGACTCAGCATCATCCGGTTACTTCAAAACTGCTTTTTGCATTTTAGAGGCAAAACTATCCTCTTACTGAGCTCCTTGTTTCCAGTAGAAACCCTTTTCAGCTCACTGCATTTGCAGAATATCAAAAATATTCAGTTTTGGTAGAGATGTTTGATTTGACTTACACTATTTATGCATCTTGTACTTTATTTTCTTAAATGAACATTCCAGTATAAGTGCACAAATTTTAGAAAGGACTCTAGAATTTCAGATTTGAAAGTGACACTTGTCCTGGAAATTATTCCCTAGAAAGAGAAGAAAACCCTAACAAAATAAATATTTTCAATTTTTTAACTTTTTCTGTCATTTACATTATCTTGATAAGTTTTACATACTTGAAAACCATTTACCTCCTCATCTAAGAAATATCTTTAAACATAGCATATCCATCAAACAGATCACCAGAAGGCATGCACCAAGAAACCCTCTGACATGCAGAGGTTAATGAATGTGTCACAGCCCACAGAACCTGTTCAGAAACAACATTTAACTGTTACCTGCTCTACTCGAGTGACCAGAAATATTCCTTTGCTTCTAGACTTCAAGCGTTAATTGAAAGGCTTCTAGAACAATGAATTCTTTCAAACTAGCTGAAATATCCTTCCAAATGTTGCCAAGTACTCCTTGCTTTCCTATATATCGCTCCCATATGATACACCTATATCTATATTAGTACCATTTGGGGTTAGAACTGACAAAGGAGACACAAACCTTCACACTTCCTTCACATCTCTCCATCTTTCATTTGCATTTGTCTAACAAATAAACTCCATTTCCTGCTACATGCACTTTTCCTGGACAACACTAATTCTGAAACAACCACAATGAAAGAGTAGTGGACTGCTGTAAGTGGAAAGGAACTCACAATGAAGGACTGGCCCAACACCATTTTATGGAAGCACAGTCTTTGTAGTACACATACTGTGTTATTTGCTTCCCCCTGTAAAGTACTAGCAAGCGAAAATATAATCAACAGCAGGGAAATAAAGTTACTCAGTACAGTGCATAATTGGAACTTGCTCATACCACCAACAGGGCTCAAAATAATTGCCTCTCTTTCACAGTACCAGCAGCAAACTTAACTAAAAGCTTCACATCTCGCATTCAGAGTCAGCCTGTCCGGAGCCTATCAGGGAGTAAGTGTGTTGTCAGGATAATGTGCAGACTCTCTACAAACAAAGTTTTCTCTTTCTTATTAGGAAGGAAGAGAACACTTAAAGGCAGCACAGTAAAGCATAATGCTTTTACTCTAGTAGCACTGTTACGCAATCCTGGTTTTGAAATCCCTGTTTGGTACCTACGCTGGGATCTACAGGCTTTTTGTAGTTGCACTTAAATCCGTAAGTAATTATTGCATAAGGGCTGTTTCAGGTGAGACAATTTATTGTCCTTTACCAGATGCCTCACCAACATTAACCTGAAGAATTGTTCACAGACTGCCCTTTAACACGCATCAGGGGTTCAGTCACCTCTAAAACACAAGCTTCCTACCCCAAAACTTCACCACAGCCTTAACTGAAGGACCCTGGCTAGCACAGAGGTTGACTGTGTGTTGCAGGAGCGGAGCCTAAGGAAAATCTCCAAAATCAAAAAAAGAAACCAAACACACCAAACACTACAGCTTCCCATTCAGCCTATTCACAATCCGAAAATAAAAATAAAGAACAAATTAATTACAAATAATACAAACTACCAGCAAGCACAATACAAACCACCACCTGGAGCTGGGTTAACTTGAACACTGGTAAAAAACATTGACCAAAGGTGATGCCAAGGTCACAGAGCCAATAGCTTCACAGGCGTTTCCGTTTTGGGCTCCCACTGCAATTCCAAGGAAGGAGACTACGCCAGTCCTGAAGACTTCATAGGGCTTCCCACAAGCAAATACACGCCCTCTGACAGCACCACACGGTGAGGGAATTGTGTAGGGATTTCACTCCTTTGCTTCTACATTTATCCCTCAGCGTGAAAAGGAAAATCATGCTAAGGCTTCTTACAAACGAATCAGACTCTGGGCATTTTGTCACTATCATACAAATAAGACAGACAATAGAAAACGTATAAGGCTTAAGTGACATCCCTGAAGCTATATCCATAAGTCCATTGCAGATATGGCTACTGGCAGAGGGAGGGAGAAGAAAGGCTCTACTATGAAAATGCATAATAGCTGCAAAAAGAATAAATCCTTTCATGTTGGTCTTGGCACAGAATGAAATGGGCAATCAACAAAGAAGCTCAGGTACCTACCTTTGCAGTCATTTTTGCCAGGAGTTCTTGCAAATCCATGATTCCTTGCACCAGACTTAAGAAATCGCTGCAGGTTGGGCATGCTCAATAAAATAAGAGTAAAAGGAAATGGAAAAGAAGAGAAGGAAAAACACAATAATCCATAAATAAACAACAGTAAATCAAACTTATCTGAACATAAAATGCAATCTGTTTACACAGAATATTTGCCTTCTGGAAGCCAGCACATGCAAAAATGACAAGCCTGAAACTGAAACTATTATTTTTTAAAACAAAGAAGGAATTTGTATGAAAAATCTGAAATAGAATAAAGAAATTGTTACTTACTGCGATTCAGATTGGGACACTGCATTATATAGCCATTAGGTATAAAGACGACTTTCACATCTTGAATAACACCCTTTGTAAAAGAAGAGAAAACTGGTAATACAGATTACAAGTATTCACCACCTAGATCTGTACAAGCTGTTGCACAAGTCATTTCTTAAATGGAAACAAAAAACCTGATCAATTCATTCTTCTCATGAGGAAAATAACTGAAGATGGACAAAATATAACAACTCCTCCCATTTTCCTGTGTGCTTGGATATTAATTTTCATAAAACACAGAAGTAATACTGCTTTGTCTTTTGCAATCAACAAACATAAGCTGCTTAAATATCTTAAAATGGGGTGAGACTGATAAGAAAGCAGGGAAATAATATGCATTATTTGAGCCTATGACACACTTCTCAAAAAGACAGAGGAAAACACAGCAATACTCCTCAGCCATTTAGGGAAACAAGACTGTGAAAATAAATATTGTGAAAAGATAAGGATGCAGTGCAAGGGGTAAGTAAGAGTCTACACTTCAGATGTTTTGTTTAGTTTAGCCTATTAGCTTTGTAGCTTAACAGGCAGCTCATGTAACCATGCCATCAGTTAGAATTAAATCCTTTCTCTAACCCAAGCAGATGGAAAGATGCCCTGCGCAGGGCTAGCAGAAATCAGGCCTCCAAGGTCAAAGCCAGCTACTGCAGGCTGTATGAGGCCTGAAACTGAACCAGGCAGGAGAGGAGGGAGGAATCAAGAAAATCAACAAGGTTGGAAAAGTCCAACCATTCCCCTAGCACTGCCAAGGCCACCAGTAAACCACATCACTGAGGGCCTCGTCTACATGATTTGTGAACACTTCCAGGGACGATGACTCCACCATTGCCGTGGGCAGCCTGTTCCAATGCCTGACCACCCTCTCTGTGAAAGAATTTTTCCTAATATCCAGTTTAAACCTCCGCTGGCATCGCTTGAGGCCATTTCCTCGTCCTACTTGTTACTTGGGAAAAGTGACCAACCCCCACCTCACTACAATCTCCTTTCAGGTAGTTGTACGAGCAGTAGGTTACCCCTGAGCCTTCTCTTCTGCAGACTAAACCCCCCCAGTTCCCTCAGCCATTCCTCATCACACTTGTGCTCCAGGCCCTTCACCAGCTCCATTGCCCTTTTCTGGACCTGCTCCAGCACCTCAATGTCTCTCTTGTAGTATGGGCCCCAGCACTGAACTCAGGATTCAAGGTGCAGCCTCATCAGTGCCCAGTACAGGGGGACAATCACTGCCCTGATCCCGCTGGCCACACTATTGCTGCTACAGGCCAGGATGCTGTTCGTTTCTTGGCTGCCTGGGCACAAGGTGAATCATGTCCAGCCCCACCAATCAGCACCACCAGGTCCTTTTCATTGAGCAGCTTTCAAGGAAGAACCCAAAAACAATACAGCTGCATCCTCTTTTGTCCCTGACTTGCAAGGATATTCCTGATGAAAGTAGCAGACACCAAGGGTTGCCCAGTGTCCCTACATACCTGGGTCCTGAAGAACCCTTGTCCTTCAAAATAGCCTTGAAAACGCTGAGGCTTGTGTTTGCTATGTTAAGTTCAGTACAAAGTTCTTGCTCCATCTCTGACTGTGCAACAGACTTAATCCACGTGATCCAGTAGCTTTAATAATGTCATGGTCACTAAGGGAGAGGAGCAAGGGAAAACAAGGGGCTTCCAGTGCTGCTACTTGCACTCGCCCTGACTATTAAATCAGGTGCTGTGACACAGCTCTATCTCTTCCCAGACACAGAAGAATTTCATTAATTTGAAAGGAAATTCATCATCATGGCAGTTATTAAATTAGTGCTTTGTATCTTCTAGTTTTCAGTTAAATTGCAATAGAGTGAATTTTGCACACTGAGGACATAGTCATTTGCACAAATCTCCATCCATAAATAAAATATAGGCTCATACAGCCCTTGAAGCCTGGCAAGTACAGTAACATTCAACACTGGCATGCTCACTTCCTGAAGGAGCAGAAGGTAATCAGTAACCACTCTTTCCTGCTTACTGTTTCATGATAAAGTACTATCTGAAAATATTAACAGACATAATCAGATCACATTGTCTTTCTTGCAGAAGTATATACATTTATTAACCTTTTCATCTACAAGAATAATGAAACCGTCATAATAATGAGAAGTAATACTGTCAGTGGCAATAGGACATCCTGAAAGCCATTTCTCGTCCTTTCTGCCAGCAGCCATCACCTAGAAATTCGAAGGCGAGACATACAAATATAGTTCCATGGTGAAGCCTCTCGAGTGAAAAGCTCAACCAAGAGTAAATGAGGTGACAAAGTTCACCAGACCCCATCACTCAGCTACAAGACATCATCCAGAAATAAATGCTTTCCTCAGCCTGATTTTTAACAGTGCCTGTTGAACCTCAAATATGTTTGTTGCCTTTGAGCCTCACCACTCAAATGTCTTTTAGACAGATTTGCATTTAAATACCACCTGAAGAGGAAACACAACTATTTTTTGTGCCTTAATTTCTGTCTACATGAAAGCATGTTACCATGGAAAAATATATGAACTTCAATTCACAATACAGATGCCTTCTAAGTCTATAAAACCTCTGAAACAGAATTAATACAATCAAATATAGAAGTGAGCCTTCAAAGAGCACAAATTCTGCTGATGCATTTTTCTAATAGCAAGACTTCATTATAAGCAAACACTTTATTACAGTCATAATTATCGTAACACATATGAACAAACTTAACTGTTCTTCCTTCAGCATTACGTCTGGGCTGCTGAGAGCTGTCTACGATCACAGCCAGGAAAATTAGGCATACGAATTTCCCCAGGGGAAGCCCAGGGCCCTGGTTCACTTTGGCACAGGGTGGAGTTCTTCAGTCCACATTCTATGAAGGATTCAAATCCATCAGGATTTGGCCTTGACAGGGAGATGTCAGTGGTCAAAATCTTCACATTTTTTCCCTTCCTGAGCAGACATCACCTTTATGTTATCATTAAAATATTTGGCCAATTACAACCAAAGCTGCAGCTCAGCATCAGGACTCACTAGCTTGAAGAGCCTTCATCTGTGCAGGTTACCAGCTAAAAGATTAAATTCAGGCCTGCAGCATTAAATATCAAGCCCATCCCATGAGGATGTAATGCAAAATCCCTGTTTATTGCACTTCTCATGTCCCTATTACAGACTCCTCCCACATCCTGTGGAAAGGCTCATATATTTCACGAGCCCTTCACTTCTGCATTTTCATTTCCTCCACTGGCTAAATGCTCTTTAAAATCTGCTTCTCCCACAGACATAATGCTGCCATACCGCTGTGCAAGCTGCATCGGCCAGGGCTGGTGAAAGGCTCTGTGTGGTGGCACCAGCAGATGTGCCCCAAACCCTGTCCCTAGGCAGTGCTACACCATCACCACCACATCAGCACTGTGCCCTCTGCACAGAGCAGCCTCGACAGCCGCCTCTGGCACTGCACATACCTCACCTCAGTCTGTACAACCCTGAGAGCAAAATGACTACAGGGGCCCAAGGACACATATGATGCGGTGCAGTCAGAATACGAACATACTTCTCCAGCACCTACTCTACAATCCCCAGCCACAACAGCAGGATCAATAGAGCCAGCTCTAGCAGGTATGAAAATAGCTGTCTTTGGGCATGAATCACCTGGTCAGCAAGGCATGAATAAGCTCATTGCTACAGCAGCTCTTAAGGGGGGAAGGCTCTCCCCAGGGATAACATGAATTCTGCAGATAATTCTCATCTGACAGCAGTCGGATCCATCTCAGAGTGAGGGTTCCCTGGATGTTTCCTATCACTCTATTCCTCAGTTGCACGTACTTTGGTTTCCTAATCTGATTATAAAACAAATCTTGGATTTAGGCTACACAAAGAAGTTAGTGTGTATTTTTCAAAGGAATTAATTAAGGAGATTCCCTTCAGAGCAAACAGACTGAAGCCTGCTCTGCGTTTGCTCCCACCACAGCTAAAACCATTCCACCTTGTCCAAACTCCTTAGTCATAGCAGGTAAATTACAACTAGTAAGAGATGCTAGTTGCAAGGGGCAAGACTCCAATCAATTCCCTTGGTTACAGCATGAAGCACTTCATCCCCAGCAAGGCCACAGGCAGAGCTGGGCTACTTGTGGAATAATCACTGCAAGGAAGGATGTGGAACAAAAGCATAAATAAGGAAAATGACAGCAAGTGGCCATAGTGATTTATGAATATCACATCCACTCCTTCCTCTGCTGATATACCAAGGAATTATGATTTAAAACAGGCGTGACACTATGGCCCAAAATGTGCTTTAAATTCATTCATTTATGGAGAGACACAACAATTAATTAACTAAAGTAAGAAAATCTTTGGAACAGCAAAGATAACCCTCACGAGCAGTATCCAGTGCTTTTTGTTACATACATTATCATGGCTCCAACACACAAGCAAAAATGCTAATTCTTCTTTAACACCCGTATTTCCTTTCAGATCTCTGTTTACATTAAGGAAAACAGCTCTAGTTTTTTATATGCTAAACCAGTGAAACAAATTGCCATGAGAAAGAAAGGGGGGTCCTGCTGAGCATGTAAATATATGGCAAGACATATGAAGTCCTGACAAACTGGCAAAATCCACAGTTTTTGCATTGAGTAACATGAAAAAAAAAAAAAAGGTAAGATTTCTGAAACTCTTAAGCAGGACTAAAAAAATACAACCAATTATATTTCTACCCTGAAAAAGCTGAAGTCAGTAGAATATTCAAGCATGAAGAAAGCAAAGTAAGGCATTTGTTGGCTTTCATTATGATCAATAAAAATTGTCAGCTCATTAGCATATCATTAGCTACCCCGCTGCTTCCAAAGTGTTAGCACATATAAATATTAATTTACAAACATGGACTATCCCAGAGTTGTAAGGCTCCGACTGCAGAAAGTAAGAATTTAAGATGGGCGAATCCAGTAGAACTTTTTTTTCCCTGTGGAGCTATAAACAGATGTTTGCCATCTGTGGGATTATGGGGAGCAGCTGAGGTAAAAAAACAACAGCTGTAGAATAAAATAATACTATGGATTTCACATTTCACTCACGGTGACAGCTCAGTTGCTGGAGGATGGAATGGGTTCCAGGTTCAGAGCAACTCTCAGACCCTCAGAAAGGCTAAAGGTTACCTTCAACCTCGGTTTCACCATTAAAACTGTTACTTGCTGTGTTATAAACAACTTCAGCATAAAATAACTCTCCCTACTGTTGAAATCTGGGGACTTCAAGGAGAGCTACTCAGACAAACAGCAACTTGGAAAATTGCCTCATGAACTGACAGCTCCAAAGGAAAACAGAGTGGGTGGTAAATCACCCTGGCAACAAATCCATGCCAGTACCAAGGCCAGGCAGATCGGCCATCGCTGCACTACAGACTCTCTCACTGAGCAAATGCTGGCACCGCGGCTTGGTACCCAAAATGGGAAGAAACATCAGAAACTTTTCTATAGCTTGGTCACAAATTAAAAGAACTAATTTTCAGGTGAAGGGGGTGTGTTATGTTGGTGGATTTTGTTGGCTCATTGGTTCAGCAATTCAGCCTCCACCAGAAAAGCATGGAGTGACTGAAAGAAAACATGTAAGACAGAGCTTTTCAAGATGGAGTTCATTTCTTTGTCCTTTGCATTTTGGAAATATATTGCCATTACCTGAATCCTCTTTTACAGCTGAAAAGTTCCTCCCCATACTGGCCTACTCAACAATGATTTGGGGAGCCTTGTAGATGGAAAAAGACAGGCTCTTCGGCTAGAAGCTAGGAGCAGCCCAAGTCCCACCAGCCAGCCAGCCTGCCAGCCAAGGCTGTCTGGAAGCAAGGGAAGTTCCCAAGGACAAAGAAGCTCATGAACAAAACTCAGTAACCCTCTATTCATCGTCCATCGAGAAACACAATGACACACTTTTAGTCCAGAAAAACAAAAAGAAAGACAGGAATGTACTCCAAGAACAAAAAAAAATCTACTGCTTTGCAGCAAGGCGAATGCATGCAATACAATAGCTGGCATCCGCCAAAGCTGGAAGGCTTGCAGGCCAGAAGACCTCTGTTCTAGAAGTCAATGCTGACAGGAGCAAACAAGCAAAGAGTCATCGGAGGCAAAGAGCAGAAGGGTGAGGGTATTCTGCATGAGAAACCAAGAAGAAAATGCCCTCCGAAAGTGATTAAATCCACCACTCTCTCAGCAGCAGAGCACAGCAAAGCTGTTGCTTCCTGAAGGTTTAAAGATGAAAGCCAAGAATAGACTCTGGCTCTGCCTGAGCAGTCTTGTTCCGTCCCAAGGAGTGACAAGACAGAGCACAACAGAGATGTGAAACCTCCAGGACGGAAACCAAACAAAACCCTCAAATACTGGGCATTGCATCAGTGACTATAATACTCTCTCCCTTCTCTTCAAGTGTTGGACCTTTCTCAAATCCCAAGTCCACAGTTTCTACTAAAATTCATACAAATCATATTTCAGGAGCCTAAGACAACTAAACAGAAACATCCTGTTGACTACTTATTAATTCCTTCTTCGTGTGCCATTTTCTATCTGCTTACCTTAAAGAAACCATGCTTCCTGTTTCTCTGTCCGAGCCATATACTGCTTTCTGGTGCCAAATTCGTTTCTGGGGGATCAATGATACGTTCATAAATCCTGTAGAGGAAACACATTGCCATTACTCCAATCCTCTTTTTCCTCTGAAGAGTTCCTAGTCACAATCAGTTAACAGTAAAAGATGGAAAGTAGTACCAAAACAGAAAAAATGTGGTGGGTTTGTTTTTTTGTTTTTTTTTTTAACACAGTATTTATCACTGACAGTTACAAAGTTATATTGCAACTTAAAAAGCAAAGAGGAAAAAAAAAAACAATAAACCTATCCATTCTGGAAATAAGCTGCAGTCACCTTTCTAAGATCCAACCAGAGAAACAACCCTTTGGGATTTTCAGATTGTTTAGGATTTGGAATAAACTTCACAAGGAACCTTTATTCCACCTCTCCTCCCACACCCTTTTTCTCTCTACATTTGCACCCAGACCTTTTGTTTTATGCACCTCTCCTGTTTGCTGCTATTACTGCTTTCACACAGCCTGGGTGCTCTAGTGTATTGCCACTACAGCACATCCAGCTTGCCGTCACCAGCACAGGTCTGCTACAGAATGAGACCTCTGCAGTCAAGAGCCACAGAGATGCTGAGAGGGGCTGGAGCAGCTCTGCTCTGGAGAGAGGCTGAGAGAGCTGGGCTGGTTCAGCCTGAAGAAGTGAAGGCTCTGGGAAGACCTTAGAGCAGCTTCCAGTGCCTAAAGGGGCTACAAGAAACCTGGAGAGGGGCTTTGGACAAGGACTGTAGGGACAGGACAAGGGGGAATGGCTTTAACCTGACAGAGGGGAGAGTGAGATGAGCTCTTAGGCAGAAGTTCTTCCCTGTGAGGGTGCTGAGGTGCTGGCACAGGTTGCCCAGAGAAGCTGTGGCTGCCCCATACCTGGCAGTGTTCAAGGCCAGCTTGGGTGGGGCTCGAGCAACCTGGTCTAGTGAATGTGTCCCTACCCACAACAGGGGGTTCCAAACCATTCTGTGATTCTATATGTTTGGTAATTAGCAATACAGAGGCATTTTCCTGGTTATTCCTCATGGTACTGGCAATAACAGCAATAACAATGACAAGTAACATGAGGTCCATAAGCAAACTCTGTGTACTGCATAAACTTGCAGATAAATGCAGCAGTCTACACACCAAGTTTCTAAAATGAATTAATGAAAAACTGCTGTAACAGCATTTTTAAATTCACAAATACAAGTATCTGGAGTTTTTAAAAAGTTTGCTTGGATTTTTTTATTTATTTTTAGGAAAGCTGTAATAAAGTTTCCATAATACCTTTTTCAGGAACTCAGACCACTACAACAGAGGTATAATCATATTAGAATACCAAAACTTCCAGACTAAAGTTACTTCCCATGAATTCTCATTTTGCCACGTAACACCAATGGGAACCATGAATTTACTGCTTCAGAACAAAAGCAGCATGCTTAGTAGGGATTACTGAAATACATTTCCACTGCTATCTAGCTCACAAGGAGTATGCATTGCTGTGCAGTCACACCAGCAGGACAGCCAATGGAAAAGACTGGGAATGTGTCAAGATCTGAGGCTTAGAGGGGTAAAATTATCTGTACGTTTAAAAGGGGTGAAATTATTTTTCTTCTTTCTTTAAAGCTATGGCTTTAAAACAAACACCGAAAATGAACACCACATTAAAATACAAGTCAACCAACACAACCCATTGCACAGTCATCTTCCCTTTTACACTCCAAGTGTTTCTAGCCCAAGCTCACCAAGTGTAATCGCTGAATTCCATGTTCTAAATTGCCAGATATATTGGGTTTGCATGGCAAGGTTTTGGTAAGGGGGAAACTACAGGGGTGGCCTCTGAAAGAAGCTGCCAGAAGCTTCCCCAGTGAGCAATGGAACCAATGCCAGCCAGCTCCAAGAGCTATCTGCAACTGTACAAAGCCAAACCCATCAGCAACAGTGCGAGGAGGAAAGAGCAGCAGAGACATGTGACGAACTGACCTTAACCCTCATTCCCTGTCCCCCAGCACTGCTGGAGGAAAGAAGCAAGGAATTTGGGAGTGAGGTTGAGCCTGGGAGGAAGGGAGGGTCTGGGGAAGGTGTTTGAAGGTTTGGGTTTGTTTCTCATTAGCCTACTCTGATTTGAATGGTAATAAATTAAACTGATTTCCTCAAGTTGAGTCTCTTTCGCTCATGGCAGTAACTGGTGAGTGATCTCTTCCTGTCCTTTTCTTGACCCATGAGCTTTTCATTCCGTTTTCTCTCCCCTGTCCAGTTGAGGAGGAGGAGAGACAGTGGTGGTGTCTAGCCAGGGTCAAATACACCACACCATGTTATTCTACAATTCATACATTTGCAAAGGCCTAGAAAAACTTCCCAGTGTTCAAGAACTTCAAGAAAGCCCTATAAAAGTGTTTATGTCAAAGGACAAAGTGTCAGATATTCCAGCCATTTCTGCTTATTCAGAAAAGAAGGAAACCATTTGTCAAAACCAAATGGAAGCAATGTAAAAAGCTAGAAGCAAACTTACTATTTCCTTAAAAAAAACAAACAAACAAAAAAAAAAAAAAAAAAAAAAAACACACCACAACAGAAAAGCCAAGAACAAAACAGTTACATGAAAATTCCAGCTTGAGAGAGAGTACAGGAGTCCAAAGGTGTCGTCTAGACTCATGATCTTATTGCTTAAGTTAATTAGAATCATCATCAGCCATAGTTCATCACATTTTATCACGATACATTCAAAGCTATGGGAAATTTCTGCTTCTGCTAGTTAATCACTTCTTACTATGTCTAAAATTACCATGCTGAGCTGCTTTACCTGTTCACACAACAAAACAAGACCACATTCTTTTAAACCATGCTTTGAGAATTAGAAGAATTTTGCATGCACCATCTCTATTAATGTTGTAAAGCTGAAATAGACCCTCACAGCCATACCTTATGCAGAATTGAAGATCTACTCAAATGCAAAATTGCTGCAAAATGCTGAATGAGGAACAAAGAACTGACATTCTTCATGAGAAAACCACTCATGGAATTGCACTCTCATACTAGGAATTTCTCTGTGGATGTATAGCGCATCTTTAGCCATGACTTACCTTAATAATGCTCTCACCAGAAAATTTCTCATCTCGTAAAAAGACTCGTCAATATTCCATGAACTCTATTTCTGCTAACAGATAAAATCCCAATGCTGACCAGCTTCGACAACATGAGTTATTGAGGAATATTTGATTTTTATTCACCTGGCCTCATTACAGTTTGTAAAGGAACTCTACAATATCTGTCTGCAATTATGTAGTAAAAGACCCAAATCCTAACTGAGATTACTATATGGCAGTTCAACAACAGCAAGGAAGGAAAACACATCAGAGACAGGCCAAAGTGGTTTATCCTGCCCTTTCTGAGGATTTAACAAAGACTTTCAAGCTATATGAAAAAGGCTGTGGCAACCTTCCTCCCAGATTCTCTGCAGAAAGTGCCATTCATAACACACGAGCTCCCCATATTCCTCTACTGTTCTACTGTAATTCATTTTCTGAAGCAGGGATTTATGTTAAATTAAGGGATTAATTAAAGGTTGGTTTGTGCCTTATTCTGTATGTTTCTAAGAGACTTGTTGGTCTTCTTCTCCATAGATCTGCCCATGGAGTAAGAGGCTTAGGATTCAAGAGAAGGCATGAGATGTATATCAATCCTCACTTGTTTTCCAAGGGAAAAAGATGTTTGAGTTGACACTATTTGGTTAGTGAACAATGAGAGCTTACTTTGTTACTTTATACTGTTAAACATCAGCAGAAAAGCCCCAGCAAACATACACAACAGCTTATCTCTATAGTCTTGGGAAACGAAAGGGTCAAAAAGCACATCTGAATTTGTAACAGTCAAAAAGGAAAGAAAAATGAATCACAAGGACCATGGTTCACCATGCACCGCTTCTCTAATGACGAAAAAGTAAAAATAAATAAATAAATACATAAATAAATACAAACCAGATCCTTGCATCTCCTGACATAATGGGAGAGTGACACAAAAAATCCAAGGGACTTTTCCAGCAAAGACTGGAGCTGCCAGACAATGGGAAAACAGCTACACAAAATAAAACTGGAACTACATGGAAGAAGCTTCTGAACTAATCTGAGCAAAGAGACATGACAGCATTACTAACTCTCAATTAGAGCCTGAGAGTTAAGCAATTTTTAAATTTAAATTTAATAAATTTGAAATAGAATTTAATATTTAACAAAGATGAAAACAAGCACTTTCAAGTATCAGCGAGCAGAGCTTCGCCATGACAGGCATTGCCTGCTGGTGGCCAGCAGAGATGACTGGTGTGCAGCTGGAGTAAAGCAGGAACTGGCCACGGCTCCTGGTCAAAGGTTCATGTCTGAAGTCACTAGAACATCAGAAACCCTGCAGCATTCCTACAGCAGGTTTCTGAGAAGGAGAGACTTCACATATATTGAAGACACCACATTCATACAACATGGTTAAGGTGGCACTTGCTACCTCAGTAGTTGAGAATAGGTTTCACCCAGACATCAGGGTTACCTGCAGATGTGAGCCATATACAAGGCTACCAAGTATTACTGATCACTGAGGTGACTATTCAGGGGTTTCCCTCACCTAGAAAAACCCACAAAGCACAAACATTTTATAATATATCTCAAAGGGTAACGAGAAAAGTTTCTACTTACAGGTGAAACTTTCTTACAACTCTTGCTTGTGAAGCGAGAAAAAAACTTGCTCTGCTCCACTTCCTCTGCCGGTTTTCTTTTGTAAGAAAAGGGGTGGTTTTCAGGCTGAAAAACTACTGTTGCTGAGCAGATACAAAAGGATCCTTCTTTTTTAGCAGCTACATTAAGCTCCCACATCAATTCTCATTCCTTTGCTCGATTTTTCTGGCCTGAGATGTGTCACTTTATATGGCTTTATTCATGCTTGGCCAATACTTTGTATTTGCCATATAAATAGTTAAATTACATCTACTATACTTCCAGGTTATGAAGTGCTGGTCTAGAGCTCCTTGGAGACCAGTTTCCAACACATTTGGCTTTGGTACCCACACAGGGAAATGCACA